TCTCCTTATCTGATGTATGCACTAATGGGATAAACGTTGGGCTTTAGTTAATTTTAAGTCTTAAGGATCCCATTATTGAAATTTCAGAAATAAAGTTGAAAACCAAAGGTATTTTTCATTTTAAAAATATGATTAGATTCCAAGGAACCGGAGAAATACTTTAGTTTGGTCATACACTGCCAGGAACAGAAGATAAATACCCATCCCAAACGTATGATGTTGATAGAATTTGTTGGACCTTTTAGAAATAACTGTGTTAAGGCGTCCAGGTAGTGTAGTGGTTATACATCGGTCTGTTAACTGCAAGATCATCAGTTCGAAACCACCAACCACTCCATGGGAGAAAAACGAGGCTTTCTACTCCTGTAAAGTGTTACAATCTTAGAGACCCATGGGGGCAGTTCTACTCTGTCCTATAAAGTCACCATGAGTCTACTTGCAGTGAGTTGGAGTTGAAGTTGGAAGCATCATATAGTATAAAATACTACCTAGTGATAATGCAGTCTTGGTTTCTTTTGTAGTTCAAGTGGAAGTTCCTTTTCTAGAATCTTCTAGTGAGAATATACCAAAGCCTCCCATCTACTTGTGTGCACCCAGAATCATCTGTGTGTTGGAAAGGGAAACAGTTTCACATCTTGTCAACATCCCTTACAGTCTACTCATGTTTATTTCATTCAAGCATTGTAATGGTAAATGAATGAACCTTAAGCAAAGCCAGAAAGATTATATTTTTTAAAAAATATATATTTCAATTTTATTTGCAATCACTTATGAGGGATAAATAGTGGCATGGTTACCTGAGAGGTAATCTATTCTCTACCCCAGTTTGTACCAGAAACTAGCTGCCTATGGGCTGGACTAATGAAGGGTTTCTTGTCACTAAGGAACCATAGCCTCGGGCTCTGTCTCATCACCCACCACTCTCTGGGAAAGCTGAAGGACCATCCGATCCAGTTCTGCCAACTCCCTCTGCCAGATCCACCCTCGGATGCAGCCCTGGCCCTACCATGAGTTGGATGTAGCAAAATGAAATCGTCACCAGCCCTTCTGTGTCAGTTTTCTCGAAAAGGCAGTGCCATCGAACAATCCAAAGGGGTGTCTTGCTCGCACCTCACCCAGGCACCGTGCCACGTTCACTGCAGCCCCTAGGGAAAATAACTGCCTGCTCGAGAAAGCCAGAGCTTTTTTATACGTTTGGGAACTTTTTCTCAACATCTAGAAAAAACGACATTGCCGATTGCGAGTGACTTGATTCCAATGCACGTCTCCCCTTGGGTTACCAACTAGAACTACTCTGCAGGGATTTCTGGGCTGCCATCTTAACGGAGGAACCCTCGTGTGAGCTGCTACTAAAACGTTCAAATCCACCAGAAGGAAGATGTGGTAGTCTGCTTCCATAAAGATCACAGCCAAGAAAACACCACGGGGCTCGCCTACACTTTCCTACTGGTTTGCACACACAGACAAACCAATCTTGGTGAACTCATTTCTAGAGATTATAAGCCTTTGTTTTCATAAAGCAAAAACTCGCACCATATGACGTGATTGATCCAACCAACCAAGTGCCACCGCGTCAATTCTGATTCATAGCGACCCTATACAACAGAGTAGAACTGCCCCTGTGGGTTTTGGAGACTGTTCCTTTATGGGAGCAAAAAGCCTCACCTTATACTTTCAGAGTGACTCATAGCTTCAAACACCTGACCTTGCAGGTAGATGCCCAATCTGTAGCCCAGTATGCCACCCAGGCTCCTGGATATGATTGCTAGTGATTGTTAAATAGGAATTACAGGAGCTCTAGACAGGCTCAATATAAGAAGACAGGAAGGAAAAGACACGCGCTTGGTGCTTTCCTAGAACCCCTCAACTTAAGAGTGAACGTCAGCGAGCTGTGCTGTAACTTTTCTATTGACTCTCTCTCCATTGACTGTGCTGTGTTAGTGCTCAGGAGATCACAGCATTTCACCAAAATGAGAAAGCATGCAATTTAAATGACCACGGAGGGCCTTCCACACTCTCCTCTCGAAGGTATTTGGCATTACTAATATCATTTATGGAAAAAACACTTCCCTCCAACATCTTAAAATTCAAAAAAATTGTTTCATAAGATGAAATAACTTTACACAGATTTCCGTAAAATTCACAAAGCCCCACGTTTACATAATGCATAC